TTGAGAGGCTGGGCTCTATGTGGAGAAGTGTGGCATCAGGATTGATGGAAGATTCATCAACAATCTGCGTTATGCAGGTGAGACAACCCTGCTTGCTGAAACTGAAGAGGACCTGAGCCTCTTGCTGCAGAGGGTCAAGGATTGCAGCCTTCAATATGGATTGAGGCTCAATGTCAAGAAGACAAAGATTTTCACCACAGGACCAATTGGCAGCATCAGGATAGATGGTGAAGAGATTGAGATTGTTCACAGCTTTAGTTTGCTTGGTTCCATAGTCAACACTCTTGGCACCAGCAGCCAGGAAATTAAAAAACATATTGCGATGGGTAAGTCTGCTGTGAGGGACCTCTCCAAAATGCTGAAGAGCAATGGTGTCACTCTGGAGACTAAGGTGCACCTGATACAGGCTATGGTCTTTGCAATCAGTTGTTAAGCGTCAGAGAGTTGGACAATGACTAAGGAGGATAGAAGGAGAACTGATGCCTTTGAGCTGTGGTGCTGGAGGAGTATTTAATGTACCATGGAGTGCTAAGAAAACAAATAGGTTCATCCTGGAGAGGGTTAGACCAGGCTGCTCCTTGGAGGCAAGGATTCTGAGGCTTCATATGACATACTTTGGACATGTTGCAAGGAGAGACCAGTCCTTGGAGAGGGACATCATCCTTGGGAGGGTGGAGGGACAGCAAAGGACGGGAAAGACACTCTATGAGGTGGACTGAGTCAGTGACTGGGGTAATTGGGGTGGGGGTTTTGGAGACAGTGAGATTAGCACAGAACACAGCAGCGTTTAGGGCTGTTGTACATAGGGTCACTATGAGTCGCAAGGGAATTGATGACACATAACAAACAACAACAAAGTTAAAGTTGAAAGATACTATTGTCACAGAACCAGTTCTCAGTGATAAGAACAAAGATACTAAAGAAGATAAAATTATCCTGTGAAGGTTGAGTTGCTGTTTAGTTAGTTTTTTTAGTTAGCTGTGACAGACAGTTCTGCTATCACTCATTAGCTACTAAAGAGGTTAAACATGTACTCCTGAAGCCTCTGACAGATGACTTCTTTTGACTGGACTGTAACTAGCATGATTTAAATTTCTGTTGTAAAAACCATTTAAGTTGAGGTATGCAGACTAACAGGTATCTAAGAAAGCAAGATTTTCAATACAGAGAAATAAGAAGTTTCAGAACCAGGAAAGTAAGAAAAGGCACTGCTGACAAGTTATTACACTCACAGCCCTAAGTTTCTGTATTTTCTCATGTTTAGGGGGATGTAATCAGAACAGACTCACAGCTGACCCCCCAGCAGATTTTCACAGGCAATAAATCACATGGAAGGAGTGTCCATCCTCCTCTCACGCAGCATCTGGTGGATTTGAACTGAGGGCCCTAGGGATTACTGCACAGCTTCTTACCACCAGAGCTCCTTATATTCTCTTAGAAACATAATTTATCCTCTTTGCAAAGAAATAGCATGGATAAGTGTGTTTGCTTCTTGACTTTTATAGTGCTCTCTTGTAAATCTACTCAGCTGCAAAAGTAACTGCATGTTAAAAGATAATTCTTTTAGAAACCAAATTATTCTGCTTAAAATTGGGCACAAATACCAACACAACATTTTGTCTGACATTTTAATGCTTTTTAGGCTCCATCTTGCTCATACATTCCTTCTGCGTCAATCAATTCCTTTTGGTACAATAACCCTGTATATTTTTTCTATCTTCTTTTATGCTTCCTGGATCATTTAATATTCTGCCTAAAGCATCCTTAAGTATAGCAACTCAAAGCTTAATTTTGTTCTCCAGTTCCTTCGGCTTAAGAATGATTAGCGCTTTCTACGAAGATGGTGCCAAAAGCAAAGAAGGAAGCCCCTGCCCTTCCCAAAACTGAAGGCAGAGCAAAGGCATTAAAGGCCAAGAAGGCAGTCTTCAAGGGAATCTACAGCCACAAAAAAAGATCCAGTGCTACCCACCTTCTGGCAGCCTAAGATGTCACGATTATGAAGGCAGCCAAATATCACCCAAAGAGCATCCCCAGGAGAAACAAGCTTGGCCACTATGCCATCATCAAGTTTCCCCTGACCACTGAGTCAGCCGTGAAGAAGATAGAAGATAACAAAACACTTGTGGTTAATTGTGGATGTCAAGGCCAACAAGCACCAAATTAAACAAGCTATAAAGAAGCTCTATGACACTGATGTGGCTAAGGTCCACGTTAATTAGGTCTGATGAAGAGAAGGCAGCCTGTGTTCGACTTGTTCCTGACTATGGTGCTTTGGATGTTGCCAACAAAATTGGGATTATCTAAACTGAGTTCAGCTGGCTAATTCTAAATACAAATTTTTCTCACCAAAAAAAAAAAAGAGAGAGAGAGAGAAATGATGAGCGAGTTTGGCCCCTTTGACTTTCTGACTTCACCTCTTTTCATATTTTATTGTCTTTCTGTGCTGCCCTTTGAAATCTTCTCTTCAGCTCCTTAATTTCTTCCCTTTGCTTTGGCTTCTCAGAACTCTAGTGCAATATTCAGTCCTTTCTGACATCTACCTTGGTTTTTTCCTTCCTCCTGTCTTTGTACTGACCCCCTGCATTCTTCCTGGATGATATTCTTGATATCCTCTCACAGCTCATCTGGTCTTTGATCATTAGTGTTCAAGGCTTCAATCCTATTCCTGAGATGGTTAGAAAATTCAGGTGGGATAGATTCAAGGTCAAATTTTGGTTTCCATGGATTTCATTTTCCTTAGCTTTGGCTTGAACTTGCATATGAGTAGTTGGTGGTCTGTTCCACAATCAGTACCTGGTCTAGTTTTCACAGCTGATATTGAGCTTCTCCAGCTATTCTTTCCACAGCTGTAACCATCAGGTGAAATCCATGTGTATAGCCTGCATTTTTGTTTCTTACAAAAAGTATTTACACTGACTAAATCGTTGAGTGTACAAAACTCTCTCATTCTATCTCCAGCTTAGAAGAGGCTGTAGGATTTACGGATGTAATAGTTAATGTTAGATGGATCTTGGCTGAAAGCAGAGAGTACCAGAGGAATGTGTATCTGTATTTCATTGATTACACAAAGGCATTTGACTATGTGGATCACAACAAACTGTAGCTAACTCTGAGAAGAATGGGAATTCCAGAACATTTGATTGTGCCTATACAAAATCTGCACTTAGACCAGGAGGCAGTCATCAGAAGAAGAGTAAGGAAACACTGCATGGTTCAAGATTGAGAAGGGCGTACACCAGGGATGTGTCCTGTCCCCCAAATACCTTTTCAATCTATTTGCAGAAGAGATTATCCGGGAGGCTGGGTTCTATGAGGAGAAACGTGGCATTAGGATTGGAGGAAGACTCATCAACAATCTGCTTTATGCAGATGACACCAACCAGCTTGCTGAAACTGAGAACCTGAAGTGCTTGCAGCAGAAGGTCAAGGACTGCAGTCTTCAATATGGATTGAAGCGCAACATCAAGAAAACTAAGATTCTTAACCACTGGGCCAATTGGCAGCATCATGACAGACGATGAAGAGACTGAGACTGTTAACAGCTTTAGTTTGCTTGGCTCTACAATCAATACTGTTGGTATCAGTAACCATTAAATTAAAAGATTAAATTGTATTGGGAAAGTCTACTGTCAGAGACCTCTCCAAAGTACTGAAAAGGAATGATGTCAGTCTGAAGACTAAGGTGCACCTGATTCAAACCATGGTCTTTGCAATTACTTGCTATGCATCAGAAAGGTGGATACTGACTAGGCATGATAGAAGGAGATTTGACGCCTTTGTGCTGTGGTGCTGGAGAAGAGGTCTGAATATACCTTGGGCAGCGAGGAAAACAAACAGGTTCGGCCTGGAGAGGGTTAAATCAGGCCACTCGTTGGAGGGAAGGATTCCAAAGCTTTGTCTGACATACTTTGGACATGTTGCAAGGAGGGACCAGTCCTTGGAGAGGGGCATCATGCTTGGGAGAGTGGAGGAACAGCACAAGAGAGGAAAACTCTCAATGAGATGGACTGATTCACTGACTTGGGTAATGAGGGTACATGTGTCGGAGACAGTACAATTGCCAAAGGATAGAACAAGGTATAAGGCTACTGTACAACAAAGGCACTATCTTAATATTTGAATTACAAAAGCCACAATAAATTACAATCAAGAGAGGCTTAACAAAAGGCATTCAAAGGACAATAATGTTCTTGTTCTATCATTAACATTTTAATTGTTAAATGTGCAAATATGGCATTTCCATCTTCTGTTGTTGTTATGTATTATCAAGTAGAAATGACCCCTAGCTGACCCTCAAGCAAGTTTTCAGAAGCAGTACTGTCCATCTTTCTCCTGTGGAGCAGCTGCTGGATTACCACTGCATGCCTTTGAGTTAGCAACACAGCTCCTTACCACTAGGCCACCATCTACTACATCTTCCATTAGAGCATGTGATTTATGTTGTTGTTGTTATGTGTCGTCAAGTCACCTGTGACTAATAGCGACTCTACGTACAAGAGCCCTAAACCCTGCTCAATCCCGTGCCAATCTTATTGTCTCTGATACACCTATCCCCATTACCCCAGTCAAATCAATCCACCTCATCAAAGGTCTTCCTCTCTTGCACTGTCCCTCCAACCTCCCAAGCATAATGTCCGTCTCCAAGGACTGATCCCACCTTGCAACATGTCCAAAGTATCCTGGCCTCCAAGGAGCAGCCTGGCTTCATCCCCTCCAGGACAAATTTGTTTATTCCCCTATTAGCCCATGGTATATTCAATACTCCAGCACCATAGCTCAAGGGCATCAATTCACCTTCTATCATCATCCCTTGTCATTGTCCAACTTTCTGATGCATAGCAAGTAATTGCAAAGACCATGGCCTGTATCAGGTGTACCTTAGTCTCCAGACAGACATTGCTGTTCTTCAGTACTTTGGAGAAATGGTCTATAATACAAATAATACATATAAATAACAAATAATATATGGTCTGACTGTCCCTTAGGACTTAAGTACTTACTCATGTTCAGCCACATCAGGTAGATAAGCAGCGTTCTCTTGGGATGGATGAGCCATAAAAACATCATCAAGATTTTTTAAAGCTCCTGCTTTAATTAAATCAATTTTACCACCACCATCTTCTTCTGCAGGGGTTCCCAGAACAATTACCTAAAAAGGGAATAAACATATCAGAGCAAAATAGTAAAAAATAAATTGTAGGAAGAAAAATGTCTAAAAGATTCATCTCCATATGTATTCAATCTACATTAATGTCTTTAGGATAAGGAGAAAAGTTTTGTTTTCTGATATTTAGGTTAATTAGCCATAAATTTTAATTTACACTAGCTACAAACTGGTATAAAATATGTATTAGAGCACTACAGAAAATATTTCATAATTTTTAACTCAATTTTACATAACTAATAGCAGTAGAGTGACTATGAGCTAGAATGAACAACAGTACATTTTTAAAAGGCAAAGATGAAAAAAAGTTCAATATAACATTCTTATTTCCTCAAAATGCCTTAAAACTTATTTCCTGATCAAGTCTTTCAATGCGTGTCTATAATTACTAAATCTTGTACCAGTAAGGAATTTACAGTTACCTATTAGTTATCCTCACAACAACCCTGTGAGTTAGGTAAGCAGTCTGGATCATTTTAGGGAGGATGGTTTAGAAAATTAACTGTAGAGCAACTGATTTGGGTTTTGGTATTGGTTGTGAGACACAGAGAGGAGGTCACAGAGTAAGTCTTCAGTTAGAGCTGGAATTAGAACTCATGACCTTCAGGCATAAACTCTGATTCCTTCCTTACTGAGCTACTATATTAAACCTTATTAAAAGGCTTTAACACATTAAACCTCTAAGAAGAACATTAAATAAATCTTAATACCACAACCAGGCAGATATTTTGGTCACCAAACACCTAATCAAACAAAAGAAAACTTTACAAAATAAACATTTTACTTCAATAGTTAAGCTTAACTTCTTCAAACAATTTTTAAAAAAAATTACAACAAATTATACTCTCAGGATCAAAAAGCTGGAAAAGGTCTTGGCAGACAAAGTGAAATAAATCATTGCAGGAACAGATAACATTACTGAACAGATAACCCTACTAAAAATAATTAACTTACAAAATGAGATATTTGCACATTTTCCAAAATCCTTTTAAGACATTATAAAGCATTGGACTCTTAAAATTAATCTGCACTTCACTCTTTTTTCTTTTCTTTTTTTTTTTATTTTATTGGGAAAACCATGTTGGGGATACATGGACATGAGGGTTGGGAGCAGAAGGGTGAGGATGGGCAGGGATGAAAATTGCAGGGATGCAGTTGCAAGGCTGCATAATTTGGTTGGTGGGGGGAGCAGGTGAAGGAAATGAAAAGGATCCAGTGGGGACCAGATGATTCAGGGCAATGGTAAGCATAATCCAATGGTGATTAAACAGTCTTTTTCACTTGTGGGTTGTACTTCACTCTTAACTTTTGACTTGTAAAACAAGCTGTCTCTGGCTGATTTCTCAGAACTTTCCACAAACCCGATTATAGCTAAATCTCTCCAGTATTTCCTGCAATTGCAGAGGCTGCTCCCACCCAAAACCAAAAACCTAACTAGATGCAAAAATGAAGCCCCAGAGGCAGAAAAGAGGAGTCAACTCAAGCGGGAAAGCCACAAAAGATGGAACTGTTGGGATAAAAGAGAAAGGTTACTGATATTAAGAAACATTATCTCCCATCTGTTGCCTTTTTTTAAAACTCATTCTTCTTTATGCTGTAACTCCTTGACTTAATTAAATGTTTTATTCTTTTGGGAAAGTGACTGCACTCAGAATGGTTCTACTAAAAGCCTAATGTGAAATGAGAAAAAAAAATTATCTAAAGAACATTAAAATAAAACTTTTTTTCCTTTCCCTTAACCTGAAATGAGGTGATTGAATCTTGGCTCACAGAATGAACAATGTATCATTGGGAAAACAGTAACACAAAAGATTAAGCTTGTCTTACGACAAACACAAACATTTTCCCGTTTAAAGAATTCTTAAAGTCATTAAACAAGAAGTCTTAGAGATAAAATCATCTAAGCTCATGTCCCCATTATTTGTATTTTTAGAGGTTTGATGGCCCTAAATACCTGAAAATTTCTAACCACAATTCCTCCTACGACTGCCACAAAGGATCTGGAGTAGCTGTCTACAGAGGGGTTGCTGATTTTCGTACAAAAATCACTTTTTCCAGAGACTGCAAAACACTGTCAACAAATTATAGTAGCCACCCAGTTACCAAAAATAACCTGTAAAGAAAACCAGCCAAGGTTATAAATTCTTTCCTAAGGGAAAAAGACAAGGGATTGTTTACAGCTTCAGAAGAAACAAAAAATAACCTGCAGAATGTGTCAAGCTTAGGGCAAAGGTGAGGCTGCAAAACTTAAAGTGGTCTCCTGCCCTTGCCTCCTCTAGGAGGAAGGGGACGCAGGGCAAGGGATGAATAGGTGCCCGGCCTGCCCAGGTCACTGCAGAGAATCTGACCGCAGTGGGAGGACCACCGACGCTCGCGGCCTAAGTAATCAGAGGAGAGGGATGCGCCCGGGCCCCACCTCACCTTCACGGGCGGAGGCGGCCCCGGGAGACTCTCCAGAGCCCCCTTCATGCCCAGCGCGGCAGCTACGCCAACCTCGGCGATAAGGTTGTGGCCGCAGGCGTGCCCGATGCCGGGCAGTGCGTCGTACTCGCAGAGAAAGCCCAGGTGCAGGAGGTGTCTCGAAGCGCCAGGCGCCGCCTGGAGCCCCGGCGGATCCCATTCGGCCCGGAAAGCAGTGGGCAGCTGGTAGTGCGGCTGCACAGACCAGGAGGCGGCCGGCGACTTCTGCTCCAAGAAACTCGTCAGCACCTGGTGAGCGTGATGCTCCTCGTAGGCCAGCTCAGGCTCGCTCCAGATGGCGCAGCTCAAAGCCCCCAGGCGCTCCGCCGCCTCGTCAATGAGCTCCGCAGCCCGCAGCTTTAGCAGCTCCAACTCAGACAGGCCAACGCTGAGGCGCCTCTCCACCGGCTTCTCAAAGCCTGCTCTCATAGTTAGAACAATCTAGCTACGCGGCTCCCGAGCGCTCACAGACTCACTCACTGCGCTGACTGCGCCTGCGTAGACGCCTTAAGCTCGCGAGGATCTGAGAGCGAGCCAGGCGGCTCCGAAGCCTCCCCAGCTCCGCCCCTGAGCCCTAGGTCCTGCCCCCGCCCCGGGCCCCGCCCTTGAGCCCCGGGCCCTTAAGACCCGCCCTTGAGCCCCGGGCCTGTCCCTGAGACGCGCCCCGCCTCCCCTGTTGCCAGTGGCTCTGGAGATCCTGGTCCCGCCCTTCTCCCCACCCCCAGCAGGTGCTCCGCCTTCAGGCCTAAAGCTGCTCGCATCCTGACCAAATCCGGTCACTGGTTTCTCAGCGTGCTTTGGCGTCCTGACTGAGCCTGGCAATTGAGTTTTATGCACTATACTTATTATCACTTTTCCGTGGCTGCTTATTCCCTATAGTAGAATTACAATAGTTTTATTGGTTTATAGCAAGCAGTGGCAGAGCAGAGCAAGTAGAGAACCTCATTCCTTGAAAAATGCCTCTTTTTCCCCCTCTTACATTGTCTTGCATACACAATTCATATATACTGTATTTCACATTTAACTTCATTCACAGTGTATTTCATATAATCATTATCATACATTGTATTTTATAAAATTAATTGCATTCAACTATGTCCAACTTTACCCACTTTCTTCAGGTCCCAACCAGGTATTTCTCATTTCCATTTTCCCACCCATCAAATTGTATAACCCTGTGATTTTTTTCCCTCTGCCTACCCTCACCCCTCTGCTCCCTTCCCTCCGCCCATTGGGTCCCCATACACATTTTACTAGTTATCCTTTCATTTTTACAATAATCATTTATGTAATATTTGTTCTTATGAGACAGAGTTTATCCAGCATAATACTCTCCAGAAGCTCTCCTAAGTTTCGTAGTATTTCTTTGTAAATTACTACCTATCTTGAGAGGAACTGAAAAGCATTATGCTTAGTGAACTCAGTTAAGACATTATTTTAGAAAAAGAATGAGGATCCAAGGGGGTCAGGGAGGGAGTGGAGGCTGAGGATGGGGGCGTTAATCACAGGGTCGCACAATTTGGTGGGTGAGGGGACAGCATAAACCCATTTTTTATAAACCCCAAATAAATACCAGAAGCAGAAGCAGCCGTAAAAATTCTTAGCGTAAAGCAAACATGAATGCCGGGTAAAGTCTTATCTGTCCTTGCAAAGTAAAGAATTAACTAGTGTCTATGTGACACAAAAAGAGTAAAGGCAGGCAAAGTAGCAGCCAGTCAAAAGCCGACCCACATGACTGATCCCCTGACCCACCAACCATGATCTCAATCTCCCTACCCTGACAGTGGCACCCAGGAAAGCCATAAAAGCAATTGTGAAGGGGGACTCGGGGCTTTTTCCCTCGCCTCCTTCCTAAGGTTTTCCAATGGCTTGCCTCCGGAAACTCTATGTACGAACAGTGCTCAGGCTGTTTGTTCATAGGGTCACTATGAGTCATCTGCAACTTGACGGCATTAAACAACAACAACAATGACTATGACCAAGAGAGAGCTATGTTGGCCTAGTGGAAGGAAGCTGTGATACCAAGCCAAAGGTGGGTGATTTTTCATCTGTGGTCCTTGGCCGGGTTCAAATTGTCTTCCTCTCAAACATTCTTCTAGGTGGTATAGCACTGGTCTGTGTGTTGCTGTACAGAGGTAACTTGTGGTTGCTGTGATGCTGAAGCCTGTGACAGTGATGTGCCAGTCGTGGTAATGGGCACCCATGATGGACAGTGTTGGCTGGAGCTTCCCGACTAAATCAAGCCTGGAAGCAGGAGTGGCATCCACTTCCAAAATGGCTTGCCTCTGGAAACTCTATGTACGAACAGTGCTCAAGCTGTTCGTTCATAGGGTCGCTATGAGTCGTCTACGACTCGATGGCATTAAACAACAACAAACCTTTCTAAGGAGGGAGAAAGTCTCCACATGTGGATATACTCTGGAATAAAGTGCTTATTTGTAATTACAAACGTGTGGATTAATTCTTTTGAGGGGCATTTCATGGGCAGGACAGTGGGTGGAGGTGAAGATATGGGAAAGGACCAATGAGAAAACAGGGTGAAAAATAATGTATACGAACTTTGTAAATAAACCAGTATAAAAAAAGAAAATATCTGCCTCTTTCCTTTAGAGTAATTGTTGTTGTTGTTGGTTGTTGTTGATTGCTGTCAAGTTGAGCACAACTTAAAGCAACCCTAGAGTAATAGTGGAGCTCAAATTTGTGTCAGAGATTGTGAGGCTGGCACAAGATTTAGATCTGTTGTTATTAGGGGCTCACTATGAGTTATACTTAACTTGAGGGCACTTAACAACAATAACAGCAATAAGAGTAATAATTTATAAAGTTGTTAGTTCCTAAATTAGGTGTACCATTGAGTCAAAACCACTCCATAGCTGATCCTCCAGTGGGTTTCAGAGGCATTAAAGTACATAGTTTTCCTGTAGCTGGTAGATTCAAACTTGTCTTCAGGTTGGCAGTGTAGTTTACCACTAGGTCACCAGAGAGAGGGTGTCAAATACACTTTACACTTACATTTTCAGTAGTGCCTGCACTTGCTACCCTTTGTAGGTGTTACCTAAAAATCTACAACTACAATATATCATTTTCTTACCAGAGTAAAAATAAACCAGTAAGGGAATATAGTAAACACCCAATATATATGGGAGCTTTGGTGTCCTAGTGTTAAGAAGCTGCGCTGCAATCCTGAAAGCACGTGGTTAAAATCCAGCAGCTGTTCAGCGAGAAAAGAATGGACAATCTCCTTCTATGAAATACACTGTCTCGTAAAACCTGCTTGGAGGGTCAGCAATGGGTAGCTTCCAACTCGAAGGTACTCAACCACCACCACCAATATATATCATTTACTAGAAGTAAGACTTTAAAATGAGTTCTAAAACAAACCTTCAAACCTTAAGTGTTAATGACTAGATTTATGGTGATTAGAATTCATATTGTTTTATTTCCACATTTGGTTTTTGTATAGCAAACAACTTTGAAACAGATCAAATGACTAGCTTCCTTTATAACTTTGAGACTGAACTCAAGTAATAAGATCTGTGCAGTTGGTGTTCACTTTAGACTGAAGTTTTCATTACCCAATAAAGAAATTCAAGATGTTATAATCTCATTTTCCTCCAGAGCTAAGCACAAAATTTGAAAAACTGTTGTTGATAATATACCTATTAATAGCACTGTAGAAGCTTATATTCTGAGATGTCACATATTAAAAAGCTTTCACTGCTCTTCATATTCCAGTTTCTTTAACTTATCACAACTAGGTTAAGTGGGACACAATATATATTCATATTATAAACAAAACTGTCTTGGGCTTTGTTATGTCTTACAATTAAACCCAGAAGAAACCAATACACATGAAAAGTATTATTGGTTTTATTACCACTACGTGTGTAGAATATTTAATTGTGCTCATGAAAAACCTAAACACAGATGGAAAGGCTGTTGTGGAAACAGAAAAAGAGAAACACTACAGGTGTTCTGAAAGGGAGTTCTAGTGGCATAGTGGTAAGAAGTGGGGTCGCAGTCCTGAAGGTATATGTTCTAATCCATCAGCCCCTCAGACATGCAACTATGAGTCAGCTCCAACAACAACATAGTTTAAAAGCAGGAAGGCTGTGAGTTAAGATTCTATTCTTTCTCCATCCTTTTCAATCTGTATGCCGATCAAATTATTTGAGAAGCTATATGTTATGAAGGGGATTGTGACAGGGTTAGAAGAACACTTACAAAAAACCTGTATATGCAGATGACACAACCTTGCTTGCTGAAAGTGGGAAGGACTTGAAGCCTTTTTTGCAGAGGATCAAAGACAGCCTTCAATATGGATAGCATCTCAATATCAATAAAACAAAAATTCTCACCACTAGACCAATGTGCAACATCATGATAGATGGAAGAGAAAAGATTGAAACTGTCAATGACTTCATTGTAGTTGGATACACAATCAATACACTTGGTACCAGAATCAGGAGATAAAGAGATATATTCCACTGGAAAAGTCTGTAGTCAATGCTCCAAATCACTGAGGACTAATTGTGTCAGGTTGAGGACTAAGGTGTGCCTGATTCAGGCCATGGTCTTTTCAATCACTTGCTATGCATCTGAGAGCTGGGCAGTGAATAAGGATCACAGAAGAAGAATTAATACCTTTGAACTGAGGTGATGGAGAGGAATATTGAATATCCCATGGATAGTAAAAAGAACAAACAAATATGTCTTGGAGAATGTGCAGCCAGAGTGCTCTCTGGAGGCAAAAATGATAAAGTTTTGTCTCACATACTTTGAGACGGACGTCTTGCTTGAAAAGGTGAAGGAATGGCAAAAGAGAGGAAGACCCGCACCCAGAGGGATTGACATGGTGACTGCAGCATTGGACTTAAAGGTGTCAGAGAATGTGAAAATTGGCACAGGATAGGACAAAGGTCAGATCAGTTCTTCATGAGGTCAGTGTGAGTCATATTCATCTTGAAGGCACCTAATAATAACATGTGTTAACACAGGAGCCAGGTGGATTAGTGCATTGAGTTGGGCTGCTAACCAAAAGGTGGTGGTTGTTGTTAACTGCCGTCAAGTCGTAGGCGACTCATAGCAACTTTGACCCTTGTGTGACTTTCATCTTTTCTCCAGGTTCATAGGGTTTCCTGAGGCAAGCTATTTACAAAAGTGGATGCCACTCCTGCTTCCAAGCTTGTTTCAACCAGGAAGTGCCACCAAACACTGTCCACTATGGCTAACCATTATCACATTTGACACATCAGTGTCATAGTGTTCTGCTTCACAGCAACCACAAGTTACCTCTGCAGGACAAGTGGACACACCAGGACTATATGACTTAGAAGGATGTTTGAACAAAAACAATTTAAAACCTGCCTTAGGGCTGCGGATTAGAGTCACCCACCTTTGTATTGGTAGCATTGCTTTCGGTCCACTAG